AATTCCAAATTATTTATATAGCAAGAGACTTCAAAGAACATTTTTCATTTCAAATACTGTCACTCTTTGGGACTAGGAGCATGCAAGACATTGTTCTCAGCTTTTCCTGAACATGTGTCCTCTGGTTGGGAGCTTGTACTAATACTTGCAGATACAAATTGACTTCGTGGGCATGGTGATCAGTTGTTCAAAACATACAGAAGTTTCTTCTGGGGGGAGGATCCTTTCTTCCTCACTCAGCTGTTACCCTGGTGTGCACAAAGCCATACTTCATTATTCATGAGACGTATTTTCTGTCAAAATCCAGGGGATTTGGAGCAGTAGTGACCTATGACCTTTTCAACTAGCAGGGACGAATAATTCATGAGGGGTGAAAATGGAAGCAAGACAAGCCATCTGAGGCCTAGGCACAATTACTTTCCAGGGGGACCTTGCCTGCTCCCCAGGGAGTCTCAGTTGCGAACTGCTCCTCTGCACCTGTAACCTAATTCAGCTTCAGCTCCATCACGGGCTCACAGCACTACTTACATCTTCAATAAAAAATCATTTTGCCAGTATGATAGGACATTCTGCATGATGGGCAGACACTATTACTTTTCAGATGGAGATCTTATGTTTAATGAGTGATGCTCAGCATGCAGCAAAAAGCATACAAGCAAATTTTGGTGCAGAAAAAATTAGGATTCCAGCATTGCCCCTTTGAAATTAAATGCTCTATATCCTGGCTATTGTGGAATTCCAGACACTGTTTTACTCAGCTGAGGTGACTTGAAGTTGATTCTTCTACCTTTCCAGCATCCCTAAGTTTGTGGTCAGTAATGTTTTTTAAGACCATCATTCATTTCAAAATGCATCTTGGCTTTTGGGAAACAGCTGAGTTGGTTCTGCTTAAAGAATAATGAACATATTATGGAAGGCCCATAGTCTTCAATTATTAAATAATTGATATGCAGAAGTGCTTTCAAAACATGTGATTTCATAGTCTGGTCTGGATGTCAGTGCTCAATATATAGAAATCTGTGCTCTCCTGGAGAAGCAGGGGGCTTATAACAGTGTAACAATTCATAAAAGCAAAAAACATGCCAGCTCGGCATAGAAGTCTGGTTTCAATTCACAAAAATTGACAAAAGCCATAGGAATAAAGTAGTATGCATGAAATCACTTCTAAGGGGTGGAATATATGCCACATTTATGGAGACATGTAAAATTTGCACCTAAATTTTAAGTTCCTGCAACAAGAAGCCCTAGATGTCTCTGTTTCTTCTCATGTCAGCAGAGAGAAAGTAGGTGCTCCAGATGTGGGTGCCTCAGGTCTACAAGGAAAATGGATGGTTGTTTTGAGGACACTGTTTCGCTGGGCACCAGCCAGTTGCCTTGGGGTAGGGGACTGGAGGCCATTCAAAAACTCCTGTAATTGAATTCTGCTTGTTCAAAGGACAGGCTACAGGAGAACCATGTTGAACTTTTTCAGAATGTAGACTCCCGCTGCAAGCTAAATACCAATCCTGATATGTTCCAGAGAAATTCATACCTACTAAAGTGAACAAAATTCCTTTATTTCTTTTTATGAAGAGATCTATTAAATGAACAATGAAAAATAGCCTGGAAATTTCAAGGACATGATATAAAGACACAATAAACCAAATTTACATTCTAATTTTAAAAGGAAAGACATAAATTTGCTAGATAGCCCATACTGAAACTATAAATTTGTTGTTTCCCCTACAAGAAATAAGCTTTGGTTGAATTTGCTGTTGCAAATTAGCAAGGGTCTGAGATGGTTACAGAAAGAACCACTCAAAGGCTGTGACAATGATTTGCAGGGCAGAGAGCTTCCTCTTCAAGTGAGGAAAGAAAAGGTGAGACATCTTCCTGCAGCAGAGCTCACCGGTGAGTTTGGCAGCTACATGCACAGCCTTCCTACCAACCTGCCCATGCTCTCAGCAACGCCCCTGAGCACTTCCAGAGCAGCAGTAGAATCAGTTTGCAAATTTGTCAAGACATCAAACCCTGAACAACATGTACAGGGCATTTACCTTAAAAATGCCAAATGCATTTTAGAGCAAAATTATCTGAAGACAAGATTCTCACTGCACTGAATGCCTTGATGTAAGAGCTCATGGGGCCCATTGTTTATGCTACTTTGGCTGGCATTCAGCCATGTGAATAAAAGAAAAGTGCTGAACTGATTTTCTGTCCAAGGCTGCAGTATCATTAATTGCTTTAGAGCCATGTCAGGTCTTAGCAGATGGCGAGAAGGGACTGAATTTCTGACATTTTTAATTAAAATGTAACCTTTATTATTATGGGATTAATAGTTATATAAATATAGCTGCACAATTGTAATGTACATTTGGTAAGAGACAAATTCTGTACTCTTTGTAGACCTAACCTAAGAAGGCTTAAAATCAGGTGAATTCATGTTGGTAGCTCTTTTGATTTTATTGCTAATCCTATGGGGTGAAGCATTTTTCTGAAGGTTGCTCCTACAGTCATAGTGAAAACTTCAGCCCCACTTTTTTCCCCTACAGATCCACATTCATAGCAAAGTTCGCAAAGGAAAATGTTTAAATCCCCCAAATTAGAAAGCAAATAGCAAAGTTTTTAAAAGCAGAGCTACGTACTTATACTTGTAAATGCCACACTTGTGGTGGCAGGGTCCTTGGGGCTGCAATAACACTTTTTGGCAGAGGGAAACCTCTTTTCACTAAGGTTGATCTGAACCACCAAGGCTCTTTTTCCCCTTGCTGGATTTTGGCCAGGACAGTTTTGGCCAGCACTGATAGAGGCATGTGCTCAGCTGCCTTCTCTGCAAACTGGCTCTACGCCCTGAGGCAGAACTCCTCCCCAAACCTGTTCCCGCCATGGGCACAGGAATGACTTCATTATACCCCAGCCCTAGTTGAGCTTCTGACCATGACACCAACTACACGTCTCCCCATCTGCTGCAATGGACCCGACCAACATTCCTGCAGGCTGGATTTTGATAATCATAACTTGCTACCAGGAACCTGAGGCCCTTCTTGTCCTCTACCACTTGTGTGCAAATGCCACAATGGTTTGAGAAGTGACTGGGGTTTTGCCCATCACCTGTGCTGTTAAAGCAGGAGAGAATAATCAAGGCTCTTTTTGCTTCATGGCCTAATTTTTGTGGTTTACTAGCTCAGAATGAGTCTTCCAATGACTCTAGCAAAGGGTGTGTGTGGTATTTCTCTCAACTAGCACAAGAACTGAAAAGACACTGTCTGTCACATCTCTGTAAAGTCCAAACGTGTCACTGAGTGCCAAAAACCTGTGTGTCATTTACTTGACGAGTCTGGGACCCTCACTCATGTCTAGTGCTTGTGCTGTTTCACAGATGTCCCAGTACATCTTGGTACATTTGCTGCTTTGTGTGGGGGCCATATCCTCACCTTCACCCTCCTGATGAAGGCTGAAAGGAGGGGAACGACCTTACAGCACAGAAACACTGCCTGGAAAAGGCACTTGGAAGAAAATAAGCATAGTTACAGTTGGACTGAGTTGCCTCTCTGGCTCCTACATGTGGATGGGCAATGGAGGTAGGCTAGCAGCTGAGGCAGGAGTAGAGGGTACTGCTCCACTGTGGCAATGTCCTCTTAGTATGCTGTTTTGGCTGGCCCTGTGGCACACACTGGCATGCATGCAGGCATCCTGCCTTCCCCAGTTTCCTTGCAAACCTGCATTGCAGGGGCCTGAGGGCTCATGTCGTGTTGCAGTAGGGCGCAGCCATCAAGAGTGACCCCACAGTCTGGTGCACCACACCAGCCTCACAGGGAGACCCACCAACACTGCAGATGGACATAAACAGCATTTCTGCCCCAGACGGTCCCTACAGTTTGCTGCTTGTCCCTCATCCAGCTGTCCACATGCATACCAGCATGTAACACGGACCTCTTCCTGCTCCAGGCCACAGGGATGGCAGGTGATCCATGTTTGTCCCTGTATGGGGATGGGGATGTGAGGGGCTGGAAGGCAAAGCCAGGAAGAGGAAAGGGCAAGGATGGATTTTTTCAGCAGAGAAATGATGGGTGGGAAGACCCTGCCATGCTTAAGTGCCAAGCACTGCCATGCCAAGCAGAGCAGACCATGAGGAGCTCGTCTGTAGAATGAATGTGCGTCTGCTAATCTGCACACCAAATGTGTACATGACTGAGCAGGAAGACTGAGGCAGAAGAGTTTTGGGACTGTAATTATTCTCCCATCTACACCTTCAAACTGCAAATTTGCACTTGGATTTCCTTATCCACAGAAACAGTGGGAAATTGCAAGGGGTTTCAGTACACTCCTGGTGAGTTTGGCTTCTGTTTCTGCCAGCTCTCAGAAGCTCCTTTTGGGACCTGTGAGAATGTCCAGGAGGATGCTCCTCTACACTCTCCTTTGAGAGGGTGAAGGATAGAGAGTGCTGCACCCTTAGCATGTGTGATGGTTTAAAAATTCCTTGGGTGTTTCTGAACAGCAGCTTCTTGCTGGGTACAACACTTGTCAAAGTGTGGCACATTTGCTCATCCTCCAGTGATCTGTATGGAAATAATTATTCCAAAACTCTTTTTTATCCCCAATGTGTGAATTTCATACCGACATCGCTACCCTGCAGGGTAGCAGCTACATTCAGGGTAATGGAATAACTCAAAGTTTCTCCTTTCTATAACAGAAACTGATGCAACATAAACTGCATTACTTCAAACAAACTGTAGAATTACTTTTTGGTTTTAAAAGTGTTGCATTACTGTGAATCCAATTTGGTTTTATCCTCCAACTCCTGATTGCCTCAAATTTGGCTTTATCCTTCAGCTCCTGATTGCCTCTAGCCTGCCCATTGATTAACATAAGGATGAGAATGGCAGATGCCAAGTGCCGTCACACCAGGATGACAGCACCACACGACTGCTTCGTGCAAGGGTCAGCCATTTTGAAGGAGGTGATGCAATGGTGTGACATCTGCTAAGGATGCCCAAAGCCCACCTCCACCCCTGCCTTACCTGGGCTGGGGCACTGGAGGAGAGGTGGGTGAGGTCCCCGATCCTGGCAGCCGCCCGTGGGTCGCTGGAGCTGATGAGAACGGGGGCACTGATCTCCATGGAGTGCCGGTTGCTGGCAGCCTGGGAGGACTTGTGTGTCATGCTGAGGGCAGTGAAGGAGTGGCGCTTCTTGGCATTCTTCTTGCCTTCCACCTGCCGCTGGGCCGCCCCAGCTGCCCCAGCACCGGCCAACGTGGAGCACGGCGCCAGACCCACCGCTGCCGCCGCCGCCACTGCCGCCGTCTCTGTCGCCAGCGGCATGTCACAGCCAGAGGCAGCAGCCAAGCAAGTCTTGTCCATCTCGATGAGCTGCTTGGCAGATTCATTCAGCTGTGTGGGGAAGAAAAGGGAAATATAAAAAAGGAGTTGTAGAGAGTGATAAGGTCCCTCCACTGGAGAAAAGGAGGCTCAGAGGGGACCTTATCACTCTCTACAACTACTTGAAAGGAGGTTGTAGAGAGGTGGGGGTTGGTCTCTTGTCCCAGGTAACAACTTGAGAGGGCAGGAGGAAACGGCTTCAAGTTGCACCAGGGGAGGTTTAGATTGGAATAAGGAATAATCTCTTCACTGAAAGAGTTGTCAAGCACTGGAACAGGCTGCTCAGAGAAGTGGTGGAATTACTGTCCCTGAAGGTATTAAAAAGACTTAAAAGACACAGTACTTCAGGGCCATGGTTTTGTGGTGGGCTTGGCAGTGCTGGACTAACAGTTGGACTGGGTGGCTTTAGAAGTCTTTTCCAACCTAAATGATTCCATGGATTTATTTAATTTTATGAAGTCAGGTGAATTATTTCCATCCACTAGTTAATGCTGGGAAAATCAAAAGAGAGGTAGGCTAGAACTAGGCACCATAAATTGGTCCATATCAAGCTATGACATTTAAAAAAAATGGCATTCCCCAAAATAGCTTGTCCCAGGCTGGTGAGTCAGAGCCTGGTGAAAGAGGCATCAATGTTTTGCTATTCCCAGCTCCATCATAGGCCTATGTTTAATGTTTGTCACACATGGCTTTGATCCAGAGGTACGGCTTCCAAATCCCTCCAGTTTCATCTCTCTGCCTCTCACCTAACACAGGTTATCCAAATGCAGATGCAAATTGAAGATATTTTTCCCTGCTGTATCACCTAAGCTGTGGAAGACCTTAATGGCCACTGCAAGATTTGCTCAGGGTCCAACTTGAAAAAGTAGTCTCATCAGTCCTCTTGAAGAGTTCAAAACTTGGTCTACGGACCAGGGAGACTGCAGAGCACCAGGATACTCAGACAAGGTTTCAGCCCACTGTTCCTCATCCAATCCACATTCAGGGATAACCTTGTGTCTATAAATGCCAGAGGCATGCTGGGTGGCACAACCCTGTCACTGAAGCATCTTACCTGCTAGCCTCCATAACTTATACAGAATAGCTACACCTTACATAGCTGGAGAGTTTTTAGCCTCACAGGGATGCTACAGTCACTAATGATACATGAAGTATACTCTGAAGTCAGCAGTGCTTTCTGCACAGCACTCATTGCCAATACATCTTCCCTCAAGGGGTGCTAACAGCTGAGGGAAAATGCCACATTTTGCCAACAGACCTTTATATTAAACTAGGATGCACCGCAATATGTTTGCATTTATTGAATAAAAACAACAGACGAAAAGGGGAGATATAGCTAATGCTTACGTGCTTTTGCATTCACTGCTATTTTGACACCCACAAAAATCAGAGGTGTATGTAATACTATTCTGGACCAAAACCAGGCTATTTTTCTTTCTATAACAACTTCTATTAATTATGGCAGCATCCAAGAAACTCAGCTGAGGACAAGGTCTTCCGAGGCTCTAAATAAATAAAATAGTTGCTGCTCCAAGCCAATTTAGAAATTTAACACAAGTGAAAATAAAAGGGAAAAAGAGAGGTATGGGAAAGATGACAATAGAAGTGCAGTTAAACAAATGTGTAATCGAGTAGCTTTTATAACTCCCAACCACTGTCACCATGCTGTAAATGAAAGAAATAGATATTGCTAACCTTAAGTCAGTCCTCCTAAGTTTGAAAACACTTCTGACTCCATGAGGACTCATTCTCGGTAACAGGCAAAAACCACACTAACACTTAGAAAGTAAACATCAACTTGCAGGATCCTTCATTCAGTGACAGCTTCCACCAGTTCAGCCAAGAGCCTCCAATTAGTGATGCTCCACTACTGTCAGAGCTGCTGGGAGTCCTGCAACCATTCAATTAGCAAGTCATTTTCCCAGCTGCACTCTTCAACTTGAGACCATGCTTACAGCCAGTGTAGTGCACTGCACCTGCCAATTTTTGCCAATAACAGCTGATCCTATTTCAGATTCTTCAAAAATGTCCATTATTTCCCACTTCATCATGCTTTAAATTGGTACAACCTAATATTTGCCAGCAGGCTCCAAGTTGCAAGGAAACCAGATGGCTCCACTCCCTTAAGTAGGTGTTACAGCTCCGCTTACCCCATTGATGGAGATAGTCTAGCTGAATTACTTGAAATATTAAGGAGAGAAGGAGAAAGACATCAAATATTCATGATTCTTCTACAGCAGAGGGTGAGGAAATACTTTGCCAATCAACAGTAAGCAGAAAAAGAATATATTCTAATTCTTTGACATAGGAAAAAAATTGAGTTAAAAAAAAGAATTTAGAACTTCTGATTTTACAACATGCTCCATATGGACAACAAAATGCTCCAGCCCTTGATATCAAACTCCGAATATCTTGTAAGAATTAGACTATAAATCCCACTGTTTGGAACCCAATTTAACACTGAACTGTTCTTTTTAAAACAACAAAATCCATTACTTTTTTGTTCAAAGCAGGACCTAGTGAAAATGTCAATAAGAGAGCCCTGTACTGATATAAACAAAAATCATTCTTGATATCAGTAGAAGATTAAAGACAAAAAGAAAAACCCTGCCCAAAAAGTCAAAATAATGTTGGGAATGTCAGAGTCTTCCTGAAATACTGGGAAAAAATTATTTTGGTCTGCCAAGATAAAAAATGCTTTATAGCTTTACAACTTTATTTTTGTAGAGAACTGTTTTTAAACAGCTTTGCCCACAGATGCTGGAAAGTACTTCCCAAATAGGCTATGAATACCAGAGAAAAGTCTGCTTCCTACTTTGTAAAAGCAAATAGTGCTGCCTCTTCACAAAAAAAACCTTTTAGAAACCCTTTTTTAAACATAAACATGATAGCAAATTTCTTATTTTAAACTCTGAGTATGTAAACAAGCATTGCTTTCTAGTGCCTGTCATCTGATCTTCAGGCAGATTTGCTTCCAGATGAGAAGCTTAATGGAAAGTTCTGACCCACAGTCAGTGTCAGGAATTTGACATTTCTAGAGGTCTGTAACTCTTATGACAACCTCTAACACCAGAACTCAACTTTCTTAGTAATTTTTTATCCCTTCTCTAGAAAGAACCTATATTTGAAATTCTGGTCCTGCTAAGCCCAAATTGTAAAATGCCCTTGAAACTGCAGATAGACTGATTTTACCCCAAATCCATTCTTTAAAAAGGGAATGTCCTAGAAAACTTGACATGTGATTTAGAGGGATAAGGCTTGGATTTGAATGCCAGACAAACATTCCCAGCAGCCCTGCAATCCTGTCTAGGAATGCAAAATGTTGCAAGGGCAACCCTTATAATATCTGACGGACCTTCCATGCAAGAGAGGCAATGAAATGGTGCAGTAAAACTGTCCAGAGGGTCTCGGTGACTATTGACTGTGAATCCTGCACGCTGAGATAAGGATGCATCAGTCTCAGTTCATAGAGCTACTGTGTAGCTCTATGTCCTTTCCCAGCTGTGAGGAATCATACTGGAGACAGCTCCAGCTCATCTGGTTTTGAGAGTGAAAAAGGGCCTTGTTCACCTCCAAACAACCTTTTCCCACAAAGGGAGCAGTAATCAAGTGCTGTTGATCAGAAATTTGCTGATCTTGATCAGGAAGCCACACTGCCCTCCCTGCCACAATGCAAGCTGTCATGACTTTAGCATCCAGCCAGACAACCCATGCAATACGAACTAAGGGAGAGGGTTTTTTTCTTCTTCTGGATTTTAGATATGACTATTTTAGCTACTCTACTTGAGACTTTAACACATAGGTGACAAAGGTACAAATATTAAGATACCTCACTTGGGACTTCTCCACTGCCAAAATTATTTTTTATTAGTCTATAGATAAACCTAATTTTTTCCTGCAGAATGCATTATGGTGACTTTCTCTCGGTCCCTGTTGCACATGCTTGCACACATGCATATACACACATATACCACAGTTCACTCCAGTTGCTGATACATGTAGGTTTAAAAGAGACCACCTGTAAAGGGTTTCAACATATTTCTCTGTTAAGGATAAGGGGGTACAGGAGAGAAACTGTCATCTGCACTGACTATCCCCATATAGGACCAAATATGCCCTTTATATCCCAATGTGATTTAGCGAACTCTAGTGTCAATGGGCAGCATTATGCACCTGCTTACATATACCAGCTGGGGTGAAGACTAAGGAAAATCTACTTCTTGTCCAATGTGGGTGATAAATAATTCTAAATTTAGACCAAATAACAAAATATTACCTTGGAATTTATTGTTATTAGTATGGAACAAGACAGAAGAGTGGGAAATTTAGGTCAGATTTAAATAATTAACCTTTACTTCATCTCCCTTGACAAATATGCCTGTGCATTTACTAATCCGTGTTAGTGGCAAAATTATTCTACTTCAGCTTAGGCTCCTAAGGGACACCTTGTTACACTGTGGTCACCACAACAGCTCCTGGGTTGTTGCATTTGAATGACAGTGCTGTCTTCTGTAAGATGGAGAACAGTAAGTCTTATTCTGCTATTGAATACTCTTAGCTTTTTAGTCATTTAGGTCTAGGTAAGGGATTAATTTCTGACTGGTATCTGACCTGCCAAAGAGAGGACTTCACTCTGGCTTACCAACAGCACATACTTGATAATGTGCAGACCAAAGTGTTAGCAATGGCACTTAAAATGTTGCTGTTTTCTGAACAAGGAAGGATAGACTAAATTCTCAGTTTTACACAAACGCTTCAGTATTTTGATAAACTGGAGCCAATTTGAACAGTAAAGTACAGTTTATTAAGACTTTCAGGAAAACAATGCTTCATTTTCTACTTAAGCTTTCTCCTTCCGTCTTTGTGGAAACTATTAGCTAAAGAATGGTGCTGTTCAAATACAGGTATAATATCAGAAACACGTTATTTCAGATCCCTTTTGAAAGTGAGAAGTTACAAAACCCCACAAATCAATACATGCCTAATACAAAAAAGTAAATTTGTAAGAAAAA